CCCCCCCTTAACTTCTCCCGTCTTCTACGCCCCCAGGGGGAGGCCAGCTCTCCTGCACCCCGGCCCCCTCCCCATGTGCTCAACTTGCTCACTTCCTCGTTTGGGTAAGTTAATACTTAGTTACATCACATTAAACTTGTAGGATTAGACCTCTTTTAAAATTTAATTTTTAAAATTTTTTAATTTTTATTGATTTCAGAGAGAGGAAGGGAGAGGGAGGGAGAGAAACATCCATGATGAGAGTCATTGATCGGCTGCCTCCTGCTCGCCCCTGACTGGGGATTGAGCCCGAAACCCGGGCATGTGCCCTGACCGGGAATCGAACTGCCATCTCCTGGATCCTAGGTCGACGCTCAACCACTGAGGCATGGGGGTCGGGCCGGGCTCGACCTCTTCTATGTAACAGGTTTTATTCATTGTTAATTGCTTTTAAAAAAAATAAGCCTGGATTATTCCTTTATATCTTCATCACACTCCTCTCTCTTCCATGTACTCAACCTCAGTCTGTCCATTCTGGGGACACGTCCCTCCCGGCTCCCCATCCTCCAGCTGGCCCCCAGCCCCGGCGCTGTGCTGGGACCTGCAGCCCCCGGAGCACCTTCACCTCCCCCGTGAGGTTGCTCCTCCGGCCTCCGGGTTTCTTCCCAGGGCAGCGCCCGCTGGTGTGTGCGGGGTGAGCTCAGGGAGGCGCGGGCTTTGCCCGGTGCTTGTTCAACGGTGTCGTCTTTCATCCATTGCTTATGTCGGAGTCATTTCTTCTCAGAGTTTCCAAAGCACCATTCCTGGTTTTCTTAGCTTCCAGTGCCTTGTCTTTGGAGCCCTCCTCTTATTCTGAATTTTCACATTAATGCATGTTAGGCAGGACATTCGGTATTGGTTGTGCTGGGTGCTCAGTGGGCCCATTTAATCAGAAATTCATGCTGTTCGGACATGAGGACTTAGTGTTTGTTGGGCACCGTGTCCCCTCCTCTCTGTGAAGTTTTTATTCCGAACCTCCGTTGGTCAGACAGCATATTCCAGGAAAGGCCAAATAATTTTAAGCCCCCTCCCCAACTGTATTTTTTTGTCTGCTTCCTGGGATAGTTCCTGGAATTCATTTTCAACTGTTTTTTAAATTTTGTCCTGCTTTTAATTTCCAAAGCTTTCTTATCCGGCGAGTTTCCCCTTTACTAGCAGGGCACCCTCTTGAGTCGTGGGTGAAACACCTGCCCTTTCTGAAATATCGTTATTTCAAAACCTTCTCGTTTCCTAAGCCTGTTTTCTTCTACTTCTGTTTTTCTGTTTCAGTGGCTCTCAGGTGTGGCTTTCTCTTAATGTGATCGTCCTTAGCTGCGAGTCTTCATTAAAAGCGAGACGTTAAAAACTTATGGGGAGTTCCTGTGGGGAACGAGCGGGGTCATTGGCAGGTGGGGTCACCGCAGAGTCTAATCGGGAGGCCTGCTCAGTCAGAGGCTCTTCTCTTGGCCGTTTCTATTTTTCGTAGCCAGCAGCCCACTCTCCTGCCTGGGGAGGTGGGATGGGGCCGGTGGAGCCCGCTGTCTGGTTCCGGACGTTGATCGGAGGCAGCGCTGGTTCGTGTGCAGGTTTTATATTTTACTTTGCTGACCCCCCTCTCCCAGGGCTCGTCCCTGAAACCCGGGCTGTCTGGTCTCCTCTGCTTGTTTCTCTGGTTCGTGGAGATGGTCAGGCTACCTTGGGGCACGGGACCCTGAGGTGTCACTCCCATCTTCTGGGGAAACTGTGCTTCAAGCCTGGAGCCTCTCCAGCCGATGCCAAGGGTCCTCGTTGGATACACTCCCGAGACAGGCCCAGGTTTCGGCTCTGCTAGGAAAGCCCTCTGCCTGCAACTTTTCTTTAAAAAATATGCTGAATTATCTTCCATACGTGCTGGCACCTTCCATCCTGTGCGTGTGAGGTTTCGCTGTAACTGCTCTGCCAGCTTTAGTCACGTTGGTCAGTGTGGCTGAAGGTCGATGGATGGACGTGTTGCTGTGTTTACCGGAGGCGTGATCTGTGCCCAGTTCTCTGGGTGTCTCCTGGCCAAGCAGCGTTGGTGGCACCAGGAGCGTGGTGGAAATGCAGATTCTGGTGTGTGTGTGTGTGTCTTTGGTGTTTAAAAGTGCAGCAGGCATTTATTGTAACTTTGGAACAGACATTTTTAGCAGCTTTACTGAGGTGCAATTGGGCATATTTAATGTACACATTTGATGGTTCAGAACCAGGAAACCACCACCACCCTCAAGGTGATAAACGGGCACCACCTCCGAGTGTCCTGTGTCTGTTTCTGTGGCGAGAACACTGAACGTGAGACCTGCCCTCCAAAGGTCTTCAGTGCGTGACTCCATGTGGTTGACCACGGGCCCCTGTTGGATGGCGGGTCTCTGGAGCTCACTGTCTGCCTGACTGACCACCAGACTGACCAGCTGGGTGGATCTGCAGGACTTCTGTGAGGGACATTCGAGTTCCTGGGACCCAGCCCTCCTGGGAAGCACTGGGCTTTACAAGCCGCCCTGACTGTGTGGACTGGGCTGCACACCGGCTGTGTGGGGTTGTGCTATTTCCATCCTACAGGTGAGGATGCTGGTGGCCCAGGGCACATGCCCTGACCCTGGGACCCCTGCCTGTGACTTTTCTGCTCCACAAGGTCCTGTGTGAGCCCCTGTGCCAAGGAGTCTGTCACAAGAGCCTGAGACACCAGAGCAGTGACATCCGTGGCCCTCGGGTGCTTCTGTGCAGTGCACCCTCCCACGTGTCTCACGTGTGGGACTCATTACCCTCCTAGCAAGGCTGAGCTGAGTGTACACGTGAGGTGAGAGCTGGGCACATGTGGATCCCCAGTGTGCAGCCCCACCTTCCCTGCCGGCTGTCAGGGGCCACGGTGAACACACCACCCTGCTCCTCAACTCTAGCAACGCCAGATTCTCACCCTGAGTATGGCTGAGCAAGCGAGAGGTGCTCGAATGCTTAAAATGTGTAGCTGGGCTGGGAGTCAGTGGATGTGAGTTCTGGCCCCAACCTTTATCCGGCTATGGGCTCCAGCAGGTTTCCAATCTCTTAATTACCTTAAATACCCCTTATGAGAGGGCAGGGACAGGAAACACAGTCAAACAAGCATGGAAATTGATGTCCAGGAACGAACCTGGTGATCACCTGGTTATTGGGCATCATGCTCACCTGGGGGTGCCCGTGGTCACGTGCATCTGCTCGTGGTTGGGTGTGCTCGTGGTCACGTGCATCTGCTCGTGGTTATTGGGCATCCTCATGCTCACCTGGGCGTGCTCGTGGTCACGTGCGTCTGCTCGTGGTTATAGGGCCTGCTCATGTTCACCTGGACGTGCTCATCTCGTGGGCGTGCTCATGGTCACGTGGGTGTGCTCTTAGTTATTAGGCATGGTCGTGTTTACTCGGAGGCACTCGTGGTTAGAAGTGCTGCGGGTGGTCATGTGGACGAACATTGGTGGAAGACTCTGCTATCGCCAGACGCTGCCCTATGCTGCTTCCAGCCAGCACGCCACTGGTGCCACCCAAGGTCCCAGCACCCCCACTTCAAGTCGTCTGTGGATGTGCCACGCTCTTTTCACTGAACCCAAGCAGCAAACATAGGGTCCTGGAGACCTTGTAGACAGTTACCAGGACGCACTTCTGACTTCCTACAGGACCGACTCCGTCTGTGCTCCGAATGGCTCTCCTGTCTGATCTGGACAAGCTCCTCCCAGCCATGGCCACGGGAAAGACACGGTGCTGAGTCTAGCCATGGCCTCTGGAGTGTTGGTGGAAGGGAGGGGAAGGCAGGGCTCCTCAGGCTTGTCCCCTCTGAGGGGTTTACAGAAGACAGTGAAGGGAGAGAGATTACCCCTCCTGCCTGAAGGCACCTCTGAACGTCCACTTCCGCTCAACCCGCCTGCCCTCGGGGAGCATTTAAGAATAGGGGGGCTCTGTGCCTGGATGCCACAGCAGGTTTGATTATTGCTTCATCTCGTCTCTGAGGTCTGCTCACTGTCGAGAGGGGTGATATTGTCTTTTTCACGAATGACTGTCGTTAGTGAGAATGTTTTCTTCCCAGAGAGGGGCATGGGGTGGCTCTTCCCTAGGGGAGCTCGGGACGCTGCTCTGCTGTCAGCGGCTGCTGCCCCTCAGCTGGACGGCATGTTGAGCGAGAGTTGTGACCGGTGTGTCCCCCGAGGAGCAAGTGGCTTCCTGGGTGGGGCTGGCTGGGATGCTAACCCAGCAGCCCTCTGTTTCAGACCCTCAGTACACCTAATACAGGGTGGGGCAAAGCAGGTTTACAGTTCTATGCAAAACATACAATAATAACACTACAAGAATAAACTCCTGTGTACTCACAACTGTAAACCCACTTCTGCCCCACCCTGAATCTAGAAGCCGGTTTGCCTCACGAGAGTCCCTGGAGAGCAGGTTCCCGAGGCTCCGGGACCTTCTGGGCGGCCCGGGGCTGCTGTGCGAGAGTCCAGGTTAGCGCAGGCCACCAGCGACTCGCCAGGCTGACTAACCTTTGGTGGAAAATGGGTCATCGAGCGTTTCTGGTCTGTTGAGTTTGCTAGATCGTCCTGGGCTCGAGGACTTTGCAACGCTGGGGGATCTTGTTGGGAAACATGCACCGTTGAGATGCCCGTCTCCACCTGGTGGTAACCACGCCTGTTCTGTTCCGACCCAGGTGCTGCCCGGCATCCTGCAGAAGCATTGCTGCATCTCGCCCGACAGGAACACAGGTGAGTGCGTCCGTGCTCCTGGCGCGACCACAGACGCCCCACGGGAAGTGGGGAGCCCGAGCACACGACACGGATGCCTTGGGTCGGTCGTTGTTTTAGTGCAGGATCCTGCATTCACCGCAAAAGTAAACTGGCTTGTTCAGCTCCACAGGGAGTTAGGACCTGGGCTCAGACCTCAGTTTATTGGACTCACAGGAAGTAGTTCCATGTGATTGTTGCCTTGGATTTTTAAGGGGATTTGGTTGTATTATCAGGTTGAATACATTAACTTGAGTTTTGTTGTTGATTATGCTTATTAAGGGGAAACACCGTTACTGGCCGGCCTGGAATGCAGTTGGCGTCTGTTTGCGACCCAGGCTTCCCTTGCAGTCGGGGGGAGCCGGCCAGAGGTCATAGCTCAGACCCTCAAGGTCTCCGAGTAAAATGTGACGGTGACTGTGGTGGAGACCACGGGCTCGCTGGTGTGACATCTCGCCGCAGGCCACCCTGCGGGGCTAGAGGTTGTAAGGGAGGTGGTTTGCATACTTCTAAGGAAACTTGATGGAGGAACCCCCCCCC